TCTCAGATCATCTGACATGATAAAAAGTTAAGATGCGCTCTATTGATTATGTGACACCTACCAGGAAGTAATAAATTCCTTACACGGTCTTAAAATAGGTAACACCACATGACATGTTACACTGCCAAAAAGGAGAGCTGGAGAGTGAAAAACAAAACAGCCTGTCGAACCACCTTCTGCTGTGCAGTTAATTGTTTTCTGTCTGATGTTGTCAGTCTCTCATATCATCGTGGGAGAGTTTTTGTACTACGCTTCTTTCCAGCGTAGAGGCTACAGCAATAATACATGCACAGCTCCCTGACATTTAATTCTCAAATGCTTTTTTTTATACAGAAAACTTGATGACAGATTCCATAATTAAAAATCAGGCCCAAATCATCATCCTCCCACTACTGTGCTTGACAGCTGATTTTCCCAGAATGATCGTTTTAGATGGGCAGCAATAAGTACTTCTCTAATATAAGTGCTGATGTCTGTCCTCCATGGAACTATGTTAACACACACCAGAACCCTGTAAACTAATGACAAGTTAATCAAATACATTTAATCAAAAGCAACCGGCTGCTTCTTAACCTTGACATCCCAATTAATTCTTCACACAGTGCTTCTGCACTGCAGGCTTATCTATTGTTGTTCAATAACATGAAGTCATACGTTGTTGTCTTTACCGGGTTCATTTCCGTGAACAACCAGACTAAAATGGTTACCTGATTATAGAGAAAAGCTTTGCATGTGATCACAGAAACTCCTAAATATTGAATGAAATGGAGGAGAAAAACGATTTGACCATGATCTTCACCATCTCACGTCGCTCTGTTTATTTTACCCTGATATTGTGAAATTTAAACATAGTCTCCCCAAGCACTGGCAGCCAACAGGTTTTTCATTCTTTGATTTATCGCCTTGGCCTTTCGAGATGACATCTTGTGATCGTTGCGTTAGTGATGTAATTGGATAAGCCTTTCACATTTACTTGCATAATGTGTTGCACAATCGGAGCCTTTTTCTCAGAACTTAATGCACCACGAAGTCCTGATTAACAGTGGAATTTCAGATGTGTTGGTTTGACCCTTTGTGCTTCCTTGCTGGAGCAGATTGCGCATCCCCACCTGTGTTTTACTGGGAAACTAAATCTGCTGCTGCACGTAGAGAGCGTGTCGAGCTATGGAGGAGCAGAGCCTACAACTATAATGAATGCAAGAAAACAACAGAATATCTGGTATTAGCCCTGCCCCATCTCCCCTCCACCTCTCTTTTGTGAGCCAGCCTACTGTTTTAACAGGATGGGGCAGGTGTGGTTCGGCTTCAGTAAATGTAATACTGAGCAGATTTGTTTTTGTTTTTTTTCTTCTTCTAGAATCCGCAGTTAGTGGGTTTCTTTGTTACTCGACAGGAAGGAAGCCCATGAGGAAAATAACACAGCCCGCTCTTTGTTTTCTCTCCCTCTCTTTCCTCTCTCCCGGCCTCCATCACATTTATTCTCTGAGTCCTTGCCAACTATTTCCCTCTGTTTTTTTGCGCATTAGGGTTGGTTCACCTGCATTTTCCTTACGTCAGTCCCTCCCACCGGACGGTTCCCCAACTTAACCCTAATCGGAGCTGGCAGAACCTGCTGTTGCAGATAAAGCTCTCACCTCAGTGGCTCGCCGCATGCCAGACACCAGCCGACTAACTGCTGCATTTGCAATCTGCCGCTTTGCTCAGGGGGAGCACAGATAGTGGGGGATCCCACTGCACTGCAGGTGTGGAAGAGGAGAAGAGTCAGGTGATACATACATATATATATATACTCTATATACTCTATATGTAAAGATCCTACATAAACATTTATAGAATGGATTTGACAGGCTCCCATAATGTGACAATGTCTTGATTTGTGTGTTTTGGGGCCACCAGAGTAAGTCAAAAGCAAGCTCTGGTCCAGGCCACTCCCTTTCCTTTCTATTCACTCCAGCAGCCGCTTCAGACCAGATTGAATTTGGATGAAAACCTGAACCGAAATGGCAACAAACTTAAATCTCACATTTAAACTACAATATGAAGCTTTGCCCCCGCCCCCCCAGATCATTTACATTCTCTTCCTTTCCTCATTCTCTCCAAGCACTGTGTTTTAACATGGCATAAAGTGAGCTCTTATCTTAAATGTCCCCAGGTAGTTGTGCAAGACCTTCATTAACTCGTTTAACTGGATTCTTTGCGAGGAGAATAATGCTCTATTATTTTAGTTTTTCTTCGAAAGAGCAAAGTTCTGTTTACGTTACAGTCACGTCTGACTTATCACATCTGAAGTATCCTCATGGAAGTTTTACGGACACTGAAGAAAGCCTTTGAAAGACTGTTGGGAAATGTGCCCCTTTTGCTGTTTGCCGTCGGTCGTGTCAACATGAGAGTCCAACCATATGAGTCATCCCCTTCATGAACTTAATATCCACTATGTACTTTCCATGTTTGCATTTGAGCAGGCAGTGTGTACTTGTGTAGAGGCTATTAATGTTGTGTACATATCAGCCCACTCATCCATTGTAGAAAGCCTCCCCAATCTACTGTAATGGCGGATTATATGTCAGAGTGATAGAGTTTTGTGCTTTGAAGTTTGCTTTGCATCGTTTTACCCGAAAATGACCGGCGATCTGTCACAAAAATGGCTTCAACAACCCCAGATTTCTTACAGTCCTGGGGTGGCTGTGTGCTCTATTCTGCTCTGCTTTCCCCTGCTCCACTAACCCCCTGCCCGTGAGCGGTGAACAGGAACCAGGTAACTCGAGAGCCGCGCTCCGTTTGCCAAAAAGCATCGGAGATGCCAGAGACAAACACGAGTGGCACGGATGGAGCCATAACCTCCATCGACCCACTCCCGCAGTGTCTGCCTCCCTTTAGTTTTTCCTCTCCCTGCGCTTCCCCCTCGTCTCGCGCACGCTGACCTACTTTCCCCCTGACCTGTTTATTCAAGCACCGGTGCATCAAATTAGGAAAATAAGGGAGGCAGCAGAATGCAGCCCCACGCCTTTGCTGTGCTGGCAGAGTGTCACCTTGGTGTGATCCCTTGGGTGGCTGCTACTATAGGTAGGGCGGTTATTGTAAGGAATGTCATGTCAACTAAGCAACAGCAGCAAACACCTTTTTTCCCCCCTCGCTGTGCATGTGGGAATGTGCATGTGTTTGTGTTCTTAGCTAACATGTGTGTGACTGAGAGCATTGTGAAGGGCACTGATGTGTCAGCCTCAAAGAGGAGCTTTGTTTGCAGACTAAGATGAAGTTAGTGCACTGGGTTAATTCCCCACCTCCCCTCACTGATACTCCCTCTGCCCTTTACGCCTCATTTTTTTCTCTTCAGACAAAAAGGGACAAATGAGAGAGAAACCCAATAATTTAAGAAGCAGTGCGTGTCCCTACTCGATGATCCCACCTGTAATAACACCACAATGTCCTAATGAATCACATAGCACTGAAAGAGGGTCTTATGTTGGGTTAGGGTTATTACTGGGACCTTCTTTCATTAGATTATTTTGAAAGTTAAGAGTCATATTCATTTTTCATGCACAGAATCTCCCGGGTTTGTTTGGTTGTCTAAGGGGTTTCACATGGACTTGGACATGGGCTTGAACATGGTTACACAAACCTCCTGTGTTCAGACAGAGAATGCCATGGGACTCAGTCAGGAGGTTGGCAGGACAGTTGAGCTGCCTGCATCAGTCAAAGGCTCAGACTGGCTCTGTCCTGGCTTTGTCCGGCACATCACATAAAGCTGACGCTCCCAGTTCAGCTCACTCCTGAAATAAATATTCTGAATTTTTGGTGAGGCAGACCTGTCTGTGATGCCAGAATGGTAATCCCTCTTTTTCTCTTTTGGCATGCTAACTCAAGGTAAGATTGAGTCTGTCAAAAGCTAAGAGAAATGGGGAAAAAAAGGTTTAAAACAGGGCTCTCAATAGAACGGAGCGTTTTGAGTTGGCATGTGCCTGGATCTCTGTTGGCATTTCGGCACTAAGCTCGGAGAAGTAGGCCAGTGTTACATCAGATGAGCTTGCCAGGGAGTTTTCTGGCCCATGTGAGCAAAGTGTGTCAGTGTGTCACCACAGAGCTTCTCTCATTGCAAATGAGTCCCAGATGCCACAAAGAGTACGTTACCCACGGGGAGCAGCAAGCGCCATACAAGGCTATCACTCCTCTGCTAAAACAGGGTGTGCCTGTTAGGCTTAGCCTTCTCTGAAAAAGCAGTGATTCTTAGAAATGCCTGAAGGGTTTAGAGGAGCATGTGACCTGTCTTCTTACAGCACAGATCAAGAAACGTGACTAGAAATTCCAGAGGAACACTTCAATTCAGTTGGCCTTTGCAGTTGTTATGAGCTTAATTACCTGGTTGTAATTTTTCATTCTCTTATTTCAATCATCCATCCATTTTCTTAGAATTATTTTCTTATTCCCAAATGGGGTCGCGGGGGGACTGGTGCCTATCCCAGCATTCAATGGGCGAGAGGCGGTGTACACCCTGGACAGTCCATTGCAGGGCCACACAGAGACACACAACCATGCACAGTCACATTCACTCCCAAGGGAAATTTGGAATTTCCAATCAACTTAACATCAAAGTTTTAGGACGGTGGGAGAAAGCGGGAAAACCCGGAGATAACCCACACAGACACAGGGAGGACATGCAAACTCCACACAGAAATGTCCTGGTTCCACCGGGGACTCGAACCCAGAACCTTCTCACTGTAATGGTGCTAGAAGCAAGACGGTTTTATTTCAATGAGTGAGTAATATTTTCTCTAACGGCTGAATCTGGCATTAGGTTCATAGATCGTCATATGACAGGATAGATACGAGCCAGGGTACCAGCATGCACGTGCTGCCTCCAGGCTGCAACTGGTATCCTGGAAAAAAACGAAATGGTTGCTCAGCTCACTGCTCACTGGGATAAATGGCTGCCGATTCACCAAAGCCAAACAAAACAGGTCCTTTTTCCACATAAGCCGACGAGCCAACATTAAGATATATTTTTTTATTTTCCTTGAAATGCTCCCATCTTAAACAATGAACATTAGTGTCTTTACATACATATTCTTGTCAAAAGAAACAGATGGTAACGACCAGTCAGACCAACCACCCCTCATCTCTAAAACATCACGCTATCTTTACTGGTTCTTTTCTTCCTCTTTTTTTTTTTTTCCTTGTCTTTTTCAAAAAAATCCATCAGCAGAAAAACCACAAACATTACTGATTAATACACACAGTAGAAAGTGGGGAGTGGGTGGAGGAATGAGGCAAATACATGTCATCACAGTCAGTAGGAGCAAAGACACGGTATAGAGGCAAACGGAACATCACCTTGACTAAAAAGAAGATATAAAAACCAATTAAACAAAGGTTACAGTGTTTGTGAAACTTTACATTTATACACAAGCACCAAAAAGCCAAACATGGTACATAGACATTAAACTAGAATCCAATGAAGGCAATTTATCACAACCCAGTAGCAGAAGTATCATGAGAGAGGGATGAATGGGGTCGACAACCCCAGAAATGCTGAATGGAGGCACATGGGAAACATGGGAGGGGCATCGCTAATTTAACTTAGGCCACGATTAGAAATTTAAATTCTTGTTCCAATTAGAGCATTGGTGAAATTCTTTCCCATCATCTTAAGCATTGACCATTTCCCCGCTGCATCTCGGTTAATGATTGTCCAATGAGGCTCAAGGACCACATTTGGTCGCACTACAAAATGGAAACAAACAGTAGCTGTGCCGGGCTCCTCTCTTCGGTCTTCACACAGGAGGAACTCCTCGTGAATCAGTGCACTGTAGTGTGCTTAAATAAACTAGACTTAAATCCTCCTGCCAAGCATCCCATGCCAAACTCCAGGCTGCAACGTGTATTTAAAAAGGGTCTGTACACAGTCTCTGTCTATGTTACTGTGGGCTTTTTTCAGTGATGGGCATGTGGAAGGGAGGGAAATAAATACACTGGACCAGTGAATGGTAAGGACAACAAGGTAGGGTTGATAAAGCTAAGAAATCAAAAATAAAAAACAAAACAAACTAAAGGCTTATAGCCTGCAGCTGGTGAATTCCACCGAATATTTAAAGGCTGGTTAAAGGTTTGAAGATCGAAATATTTTAATGAGGCCACTGCCTCAGGGAACAACTTGTTCTCCGTTCAGTGCTGCTGGCGCCCTAAATCGGACCGCCGTTTCTGTGTAAACACAGCATTAACCAATGATTAATGCCAAAGCTTAACAATCACCAGAGAGATTTATGATTTTTCTATTGGTCCTGTAGCGGTAGATGATGTGGCTGTGCAGTAATTGAGATTTATCGCCAGGTGCTCGCTTTCAGAATCCTCTCAGCCCATCGCAGGTTTGTCACTGTTGAAGTTGTATTCAAAGTTGTTTCCAAAATATATGTTTATAATAGATACATATATGCATATATCCCCGTTATATACAAACCAAGTGCTTAAAAAATAAAGGAGATGGCGGTCTTTTGTGAGATAATGGAAATGGTTTTGGAGAGTATGGGCTGGTAAGAGGTAGGGTCTGGGAAGAGGGTGTGGAACTAGATGGTTGAAGTGTTGGTGGAGTTGGTGCTTCTTTGGTCAAGGGGATATCCCCAGTGAACGCTTGCATTTGATTTAAGTTAAGGCAAAGTGCCATACTTGTGTATGTTAATCTACAGCTGGATATGTACCAAATTTATTCTACTGATAAAGCTTGATCTTTTACGTCTACATTCCTTTTTTGTGAGTTACCAAAATGTGCTTTTAACTGTTGTATTCTGCTGGATACTGTTGAATGACAAAAGTAGAAAAACTGGTTCCATTCCTCCTCTCATCACATAAACAAAAGTGCTTCTCTAAGAATGGAGAGGATGTAAGAAATGACAAAATCTGTACAATATACACAAATATGATACAGCCCTACAGTAAGTGAAGCCCACTGGTGAAACTGGGTGAAGACGTAAAAAAAAAAGCCCAGTTTCTTGTCCCAGGAGCTAAAGGAGGCGATTTGATTGTAGGGCAAAGGCATGATGGCAGAGTAGTTCCTAGAGGATTTCGGGAGTGAAAGTCACTCAATCCTGCCTCTTGTTTCGCCGTCCACCAGCCTCCTTTTTCCCGCCCTCCTTCCTCGTCCCTTCCGCTGACGCCATCTGTTTGCAGGTGCCCCCTGGGCCCTCTCGCTTAATGTTCTGTGGCGGTGAGAGGGACAGGTAAGGGTGCTGGGGGAGTGGAGGGGGTGTTGTAGAGGAAGGAGAGGTCGGGGACTCTTGGCCCGAGCAGTTGCCCCCGCTGCTCCCGGTGCTCATGGCCCGGTGCTTCAGTCTGAGTTTGTGCGGCAGCGCCGTCCCTCGCACCTCGCCCTGCGGATCCCAGCCCTGGACCTGGGGGCAGCCGTGGTACTGGGGCAGGGGCGACGCGGGTTGGAGGACGCTAGAAAGACGTTGGTTGTGGTAGCCGCCCACGTCTGAGCAGGACGAAGAGGGCGACTCGTCATCGTCTGTGGAAGCCTCTTTGTCCGGACTGCAGGGATCCCCCTCGCTTGACGTGTCTTTGCTGGAGGAGACCGACTGGCCTTGATAATAGGCCTCGATTCTGGGCCCACCCTCATAGCTCAGCACGGGCGGCTCCTCATCTTGCGCGCTGAGATATGAGTGATGAGGCTGCTGGAGATGGTGGTACAGGTGGGAGTGGCTGACGCTGTCTGCGGACGAATCGCCGTCCTGCTGCTGCTGCTGCTGCTCCAGCTGCTGCGGGGCGAGCTGGCACACTCGGAACACCTGTTTCTCTTTGGCCTCGGCGCAGCTGTCTGACAGCTCATACGGAGGGGAGTCTAATGTCTTCCTCTCCAGCTGCTCCGTCACCTCGGCCAAGCTCTCGGCGGAGCTCTCGGCGACTGACTGCGGCAGCTGGCCGACACAGATCTGGCCGCTCTGCTTCAGCGCCGCCTGCATATCGACGTCCTGCGGCCTGGCCAGGGCGTCCACGGGGTAGGAGGCGCTGCTGGCGCCGTACAGGATTACGCTCCTCTGGGCAGCCGGCGGGCGGGAGGCGGCCTGGCCGACGGGTTGGACAGCTGGGACGGGCTCCTGGTGGGGCGGCCGCTGCTGCTGCAGGAGGTGCTGGTGCTCTTGCTGCTGGCTGCGATACGCGGCGTCCATCTCCTGGTGCTGCTGAATCTGGTGGTGTGCCGGTACGGAGGCCAGGCCACGGTGGATGTTGAACATGATCTGGGTGGTGGTGCCATTGGCAATGTCCATCTCCAGCCGGTCGCCCTCCTGCTTGATCTCGAAGGGGATGGGCTCTGGGCTGTCCCGTGACGAGCTATCCGACATGTCCGAGAGGGAGCCGCGCGGAGAGTATTTCACCAACTGCCTGCGGTCCTCACCCCTTCCCGACTGTTCCGTTTCAGAGGAGTCAGAGTTCATCATCATCTGGGAACCGCTGGAGTAGCCAGTGGAGTAATACTGACTGGAGGAGGATGACGAGGAAGAGCCTCCATTTCCTGGGGTGCTACTCACACTGATTTGTTGGCTCTTTTCGATGTAGGACGCCGTGCTTATCAGGCCAAAGCGCAGCTTCAGCTGAAGCAGCTCCGTCTTGAGCCTCACGTTCTCATCGTTCAGCGCGATGACGCGGTTCTCCAAGACCATGTCGTTGAGGCGCCGCTTCTCCCGCGAGCGTTTGGCAGCCTCGTTGTTTTTACGGCGTTTCTCCCAGTAGGAGGCGTCCTTTTTCTCGTCAGATATGAACTCGCGCTTCCGCCTGCAGGTAACGTTGGGCTTGGGTTTGACCATGCGCCCTAATCGGGACGGCGTCCCTTGGAGGGATGGAAGAGACTCTTCATAACTGCTGAAGGTCTCAACGTCACTCCCTGAGTTTTTGTTCAATGTTTTGAGGGCTGATGTCAGGCTTTCCATTCTCGTCTTATTTATTGCAAATCCGGGGCGCTGATACAAGGAGGGAACTCAAGTGTCCAAATAAGACAAAAAGATAAAGAAAGGCTGAAGCTCAGCATTAGCAACCCTCATTTAATCTCTCGCAGGGTCCTCTGTTCAATGTCCAACAGACCATAAATGGATCAGATCACTCCGATTTCCTGTTCTCCTCTGGCCTTTGTTGGTTGTTAAAGGTTTGGTTGAGCCAAGAAGGCGGATCAATGTCCCAGATCTCCACACAGACTGCAGGATGTAGGTCGGCCCGTCTACCTCAGCACATCGGTCTCTGGGGAAGTCTTGTGCTCTGTCTGTCGCCCTCCTTATGTCTGCTCTCTGCAGTTGCCTGCAAGATGAAAGGGGGAAAAAAAAAAGATATGTTAATTATCAGAGACTGCTGGAGTTCTAAATGCATTCTCATGTCGGACTTCACTCTTGGCATTTTAAAAATATTTGCACCTCTCTCAGCTTGCAGCGCTATAAGCTGAACATGTGGCGCTTTTTTTCTGCTGCTTTTTCATGTTTGGCCTTTGCTGGCTTTGTCACCCCTGGCAACCGCCGAATGGCTCTGAGACCTCGCTGTCTGACCTTTTGACCCCGCTATTGATCTGATCCGTCTGCAGCCTGTGACCCCTGACCCTTTGCCTGGCATGTTGATGTTGGCCTTCATGATGTAATGTGGGCAACGAGTTCACCGAATTCCAGCAACCCCCTTTCATCTTGTCACCCACGGCTTAAAAAAAGCCATCTGTAAGACATGTTGAAAGATCTGTGCGTGCATTTTTATGGCAGCTGAGAGAACGAAACCAAAGGCTGGTAATTATAAACTGCATATACTGCAGCTGAGCCAAGGACACACACACACAGACTGATGTAATTTCTGTGGCGTTATCCTCTGAGACATGCTGAGACCGTGAAAACCAAATTGTGTAAGGATTAGCTCTTTTGTTTTGCCTGTCTGACAAGTATTTGGGCCAGACTGAGCAAAGGGTGAGTCAGTTCCAGACCCGGTGGGGTTCCCTGGATCTATATTAAAGCCTTTCACATTAAAAAAAGAACAAAATAATAAATTGAGAGCTCAGTTTTCCACAGAGAAGCCCCATCCACCCAACCCCCCCAACCCCCCAGCGTCCCCCCGTGCGTTCATCCGCAAAGGAATGTAGCTGCAGTCTTCGTCAAAACAACTCAATGCCAAATCAATGATGCAGAGTGAGCAGATAAGGCAGACAAAGGCATCCCCTAATGCAGGTCAAGGATAAAGACGCTGAGCGTGTGTGGTGAGGGATTTGGAGGTTTTGGGGGGGGCAGTGGTGAGGTGGGGCATCCGCAAATATAGGTCAAGGGCCCCCGGAAAGAAGGGAGGCTGGAAATGGGACGTGGTCTGGAATAACAGAACGTTTGATTTAGGTGGAAGCAGAGGGGAGCTCAGGCTGCCTCAGGACAATGTATTGTGATAAAACATTTAACCCAAAATGGATCCTTTTAAATGCTTCCTTGCGTTTTATTGTTGTTTGCTAACTTTTGCAAACTGAGCAAAAAGGCCAGTCGAAGAACTCTCAGTGAGCAGGTTTGAATTGAATAAACTAAGACGCGTGGCATTGGCTGTGGTTGGCAGGAACTGTAACTATAAATGAAAATAACCAAAGTAGACATCCACAATTTTGAAATGGAAAGAGTTCATCTTCAAGTATGACTATCATCTCTTAAATAATCTGTGGTATTGCGCTTCATCTGGGCTGGTAAACAGCTGGCGCATTACGTCACATTTACATCTGAGCCAGGACAGACACAAATGTGATGAAGGGTTTCCCTTTCCAATAATGTGCATCAAGTCTCAAAATACAAGAAACTACAATGTATTTTATACAATGGTAGCTTTTATCAAATTATACTGTTTCCATGTATCCAGATTTTGCAAATGCAAATCAAAACCAGCAGTGGAAAAACAGCTATTGACTTTATAGATTGCCACAACATCATACAAAGAGACTCATTATCTCCAGAAGAGGATTACTATTGACTTTTACAGTCCTCTGGCTTCGTCTTAACTGCTGTAACATTGTTAACATTGGTAGTTTTGAAATGCGATCTTTACAACGTTGTGTTCTCAAAAGACGTGGTGTTCTTACAATGATTTGCATCCCTTTTTGAACCTACTTAGATTCATGACTAAACCCAAATAAAAACAAATGACATGCCTATTTGCTTATGTTTTATTATGTGTTGAGGACTCAGGAATTCTAAGTCTTAAAGCAGTATGTTTTCTTGATTTGACCTGATCAGATCTGATGGGAAAAGTGAAATAACTATGCGCTGTCAACAGCATTAGCGCATCATGGAAATACAAAAGTAATCCCGTGTTTTCAATCAGCTGGTCCAAATGCCTGTTACTCAACTGGGCTAAAGTGCATCGGCAGCATTTCACCATCTGATTCTGTAATCTCATAATCTGTCGAGGTGTCTGCTTCAGTTTTACTCTGCTCCTCCCCTGGATTTGTCACCATTACGTAATTTCTCGCACTGAACGACGATTTCAGCCACAATTCCAAGGAAAGAGTATCTTTATACATTTTGATTTTGGTCCCTGAATGAAAAAACAAATAACACCCAGAGCAGCAGAGTTTTACTCGACTTAAAATGAAAAAAAAAAAAAAATAATCGTGTTAACATCATATTTGCTTTTAAGTGCAGCTGTGCAGTCTGGAACAGTTTTCCTGTCTTGTCCAAACTCTTTAGGATCATCCTTGTGAACCTCTGACATGTGCCTGTTGGGCACGGGGGTGAGAAACAGCAAGGAGGGATACTTTTTTTTTTTTTTCCCTCCCCGCGTCCCACTGACCCAGAAAATGGGGACCGGCCGCAGTCTGTAAACACAAGTCTGGCTCCCTCCACCGTACGCCTCTCTGGAATATAGGTCAGTCCAGCGGCCAAAAGAGGCAAAGCAGCCAAAGGAAGAAATTACAACTGTGTGTCAAGGCCGTACAGAGACAAAGAAAAGGAGGGAATCGATTATGGAGACTTAAAACAAAGAAACAAAGCCCCAGAAGAAAAATGATATTGCTGCTCGGTTGCTGGGGGGGGACGGGGGGACGGTGGCATTTTCATCAGTATTGGTATTGCAACAATACAAGAAATGCGTCACCCATGGCAACAAAAAAAAAGGGGGGGCCTTGGCACAACCAATCATATCAGACGTCCTCTCCCTTCTTCTAAACTAGCAGCTTGACACGGTCAGAAACAGACGGTGAAAAACAAGGTTCCATAACAAAACAGAGGCTGGCTGACGTCAGAGTGTGCGTATATTTCATATCTCTCCTCAGGGTGAGGCACACGTGACTGACCTCTGGTTTTTCATTAACTAAAAGTGGAGGCTCTCTTTACGTGCCTTTGCATGTCCCTCTCTCTGCTGGACACCTGACTGTTTAGCTACGTTAGATGGCCGTTCCCCCCTCTCAGCCCAGCCTGAAACATTCTGCACTTCCCAACCTGACATCACATTTCGGCAGATTTACATCCTCAAGACGGTACGAGCCACAGCAGCTGCCACTCACAGCCGAGGGCGTGTAAAATACGGCCACCGCCTTTGCATGCGTCTCAGTTTCCCAGCTCAAACTGTAAAAACACACGCAAATGGACCCGCCGCGCTCCCCTGCTCTCGTTACCCGTGGCCTAGATCGCTCTCTCCGCTAATCTCACGCACTTTTCACGTGTCACCGCGCGGCCCCTGTGGCACTTGCGGAATGACAGCACTGTAAAAGAATCCCCGAGTTGCGCCACCGCAAGAGCCCGAAAACCGCAGGAGTCTAAATGTGGCGGCGCGCTCCGGAAAAAAAAAAAAAAAAGAAGTGGCCCGAGTTCAGAAGCCGCTGCACGTGTCACAGCGGGCCGCCTCGGGAAACGGGAGCGGGTCTGACATAAAAGGAAAGCAGGGCACGTCCTGCTCGGACAAGGAGAAACCACTGCCCCCCCCCCGTCCTGCTTACAGTGTGCGGCGTGCGGCACGTGGGGCCGAGCTTAGGTGGGAGGGGGTGGGGTCGCAATTCAAGTTTGTAGGCCGACTCTATCCTCTAGAGAAAAAAAAGATGTCAAGGAGGGGTGGGGTGCAGGCTGAGGGGGGGTGGCGGCCCAGAGATCCAGGCAGAGAGCCAACAAGGCGAGGCGGAGTCCTATCCAAGCCGGATCCTTGTTCCAAGAACACAGGCCATATCATCACCGCTCGCTAAAAAAAAAAAGAAAAGTGGAGTGACTAAGTCCATGTGTTGCAGCAGTCACATGTGCTCCCCTGGCCTACTAAACTGCTCTAAATTGCTGCAATTGGCCTCTCCGCTGGCTCCAAACCACGGCCTGATAACAAAGCAGATCCCTCATCTTTCACCGGCCCCCGTGTGCCAGGAAACCCCGAGAAGGTCAAAAGCCGTAAAGTGGGACCCCGCTTCACTCAGCAGAGCCGGAAGAGGCCCGGGCTTCTAATCAAAAACCGCCATTCCCCACAGAGCAGATGCCTCAATATGTCAGCCGACCTGGGCCTGAGATGCAACACAAGCATGTGGTCTGTTTTTGCAAACTGAAACTGAACACCTTGTTTTGTTTTTCGATTTAGGTTAGAGAGCTTTTTTCTATATCTGCATGACTGCCTAGAGTCTTTGTTATGGCGGGCTGAGGATCTATTTAGGTAGGGCTCGGATCCTGGATGTGAATCCCCCCCCGTCCTCCTCCCACGGGACTGATGTGACCTACATTCGGAGCTGGCATACAGACACAGTGTGCCACGCCAACCAATTGGCAGCAAAGCGCCGCGCCGCACAGCCGCAGACTCCGGGTTTCCGCCGATTGCATAATCCGCTCCCTTCTTTAATCCATTTTGATTATTCAATTGATTCATTATGCAACCCGGAACTTATGGTAACCGCAACAGAGGTGTGCACAGGTGGGGGACGGGAAAAGTCAAACAGTGAGTCAACCAGGAAGCACTCATCCACTTTGGATCCGTCATCATTCATGGAAATTTGTCCTAAAGGGACACCACACCTGGAGCGGAATGCTGCAAGAGGTGTGGGCATCGCTTCACAAGTGTGTGTGGAAAGTGGCACCCGGATAAGCTTTCTACCACAAAACAAAATAACAACAACAGAAGTCAGCAGAGGACGACAGTTGGCAACCAGCCTGCAGTTAATGAGAATAAACCGCCATTAATCTACCACAAATAGTAGTCATTTAGCAGCTGGAGGTCAATTCCAGGCCACTTTGCTGGCAAAAAATAAACGCACAAGCTAATCTCACCGAGAGAGCAACGCACTGGGAGCAATATGTTTCCCCGCACGCCTCCTTTGTTGCAAAAAAACCGTGTCCATGCATATTTCATCTCATCCACAGTCATCCGCGGAGACTCCAACTGTGCAACGGAATTCACTCCAAAAAACACCCGGGCCAACACCACGCTGCACGCCCGCTGTCCACTACCTGCCCAGTGCCCAGTGCCCAGTGCCCGGGCTATCTATCTGTTTAGTCCCGCTGCCCACATCTGACCCCGCCGCGGATCCAGATGTGGCTGATCCCGCACCCTCACCTTCGCCATTGCTCATCATCCGCCACGCGCGCTTATTCGTGCCTCCCGTACCTCCGAGCCGTAAACCGGCTGTAAACAAAAGAGGGAAGCTGCCAAAAAACAGGAAAAAAAAAACGAAAAAGAAAAGTGACTGTCGTTATCCCGGCCGCGCGCGCGCTCCTGCGTTGATTGGCGCTCTCCTCGCGACTAAAGGGTTAACCCACAGCCGCGTTAACCTTTACAAAGAGCTGCTACACGTGACGAACAGAAGTGTGTCCTCGGAGCCTGTGTGGGATTTTTTTTCCTCCACCCCCCCCTCCCTCCCTCTCCCCAACTACTTATCTGCCAGGGCTAGCCTACTAACCCAAAAGCCAGCGGCTCCGTGGGAGTCGTTGTTCAGACAGTCTGCAACGTATCAAACCTGACACCCGGGGGGAGTCTATTTAAGTCAGAAACGAAGAGAAATGGGCGGGTTACGGTTACTTCAAATAAGTTCGTTTCTGTTTTTCTCCCGGTTTGTGGAGAGACACACAGAAGTACGTAGGTTAAACGGGGTAATAATAGGCTAGCAGGCTAGTACAGAAATAGGCTAACCGGTACGTGTCAGCCCCGTGCTGGTTCGCCTAAAAAAAAAAAAAAACGACCGTGTTGAGGCTGACCACACGCGAGCGTGACCGGAACGGAGGGGGGTGGGGGTGGACGCAGGTGTATCGGATAAAACTGACCGTTAAGTCGCAGCTAGCAGCCTCACACAACACAACCGCTTTGCTCCACACGCTTACACACAACCCCAACTTTATTGAACATTTTCTGTTTTTTTTTCGTTGCCCTGAAGGAATCCCGCAACCTCAGGCATGACAACCAAAGCACCCACCCACCCATGCTCTTATTTCCCCCCTCCTCACACACACAGACCCCCACGTTCAGCTCCACGGAGGTGGGGGACCGACTCGCCTTGACATTGAGCTAGTCGCGCCCAACCTCCAAAACAAACCGTCACCGAGCGAGAAGTCCAGGCGAAAAAATGCCAAATAAAAAAAATATTTTATATAATATATATATATATATATTTTTAACCCGTAAGACAATTTAAAGACAGATACGAATCGAACACTTACTCCTTTTGTTGTTTTTTTTCTTTTGCTAACAGAATCCACAAAGGACACGCGGGCGCTGGTCACGTTCAACAATCCGCCTTTCCCCACCGGTGGTCGGTCTCCCCTCTCGCGCACACAGCAGCTCTCCGGCTCGCGCAGGTACGTGCGAGAGCGTGCTCACACTGGCTTGTTTTGGTGCGCTCCCGGTGTCATGTTCGCCTCAGCAACCCTCCCTTCCCTTCCCTTCCCTCTATTTTTTTTCTCCGTTTCCTCCTCGCGCTCTCTCCTCCTCGCTCGGAGTCTCTAAATGTATGTTAGTAGGTCAGCTGTTGCATAACAGGACGCTTTGGGTGCCTAGTCACGTTTTTTTGGTTTCTCTGCCCCCTCCCTCACCGCTCGCCTTTCGAATCCTGTTGCGGGGAGAGGAGCTGCAGGGAGCGGGGAGAGGGGGAGGAGACGGGTCCCGGGGGGGGGAGGGGGCTCCGAGCCAAATGAAGGCTTATGATAGCCATAATAAGGTTAGCAGACACGAAATAAAATAAAGCAACACACCGCAGAAACGCGAGCAGAAGCAGGCCGTGAACATGTACCCACAGCTGGTGTTTCCCAGAACTCCCACTCTCAACCCACGTTTGGATCCAAAAACTTGGCCCCGAGAAGCCCCCTGGAACTTGATTTCTTTGCTGTTCCATCAACTTCGAGGAGATAATGGGACTTTAAGGCATTTTTTTAATGCTCCTTTTCTTTGCTTTTGTTCCCCCCAGCCTTTCGCAACCTTAAACCACAAGCTGTAGTTTCGCAACGGGTTCGACAAACATGACATAGCTGCACCTTTCTCATCAGGAAGGGGGGAGTATGTGGTGTGCTTTACTCTAGTAAGAAAAACTGCAAAAGACCAGGTGCTACATGACTAAACACATGATAGCAGAAATGTAGCAGTGTGAATTATGTTTTTTTGGGTTAGGGTTGGTCCAAAAGGCAAAGCTGTCGATTTTTACTCGAACCTCCGGTTAAAATCTGTCAGAGGTGAGATGAGCGGCTGCGAGGGGGCGAGGAGCTCAGTCATTCAGGAGAAGCCATGAATGGAGCTGTGAAAGGAGTCCGTTATGAGGGGGGGCCTCCAATCCAATGTTATGCCCTTTTTTCTCGTCCCGCTCTCCTTTAGAAATCCAGTTTAACTGGGCTGTAATTGTCCAGAGGGAAGTGTGTAAAGCGATCTCGGGGGTCTCTTATTTCCATATAATACCACTTAATAGGTTTACTGTATTACAGTTACAGTGCAGGTGAACATTTTACCTCTAAAATTTTACAGCATTTACTTGACCTATAGACTATATTGCAAAATTCTTTGGTCAAGTTTTCTCCATCATAAGCAGCTACAATGTTGAAAGCCTAGTTGCATTCATAATAATATTACCAAATGAATTTCTGTGACACCCACCACAGCTCTATTTACCTTCTGTAAATATTTACTGATGTTGCAGACACCTTCTTATGATATTTTTTCATTTTGTTGTGCACGATCCCTTATCCACCACAAAACTTAGCTACCACTTCTCTGTAATCACCCAGGAAGACTCTTTTCGGCTCCTTTGGGGTAAACCGCAAACGTTTTTAAAAATGATCGGACATGCATCAACACAACATTATTGTTAAATCATCACAGAAGCATGCAAATAGCACTCCGTCTCGGCTTTTGCGTTGTCTCAACAGGTAGACTTTGTGCCCTCCTCGGAGAGCTGAAACCAAAAAACCAAAAAGAGCGCATTTGCTTTTGATAGTTTCTAAACCTATTGATCAAAGAGCATGTTTTGATTCATCTGGATCACAAGCAGGGGTCTGCCTCGGGCCGGTGTGGACCAGCCTCAGAGGACCTTTGTTAATTTTACCAGTCTCATTGAAACGCTAACATTTGGGTGGGCTGTTGGAAGAGGCTCAAACAGCTGAATGGTTAATAGAACAGTGGTATGTGGGGTGTGTGTGTGTGTGGGGGGGGGGGGGGGGGGCTGGATCAAAGTGTGAGACTCACTCCAGGAGGTGGAACAAACGCATGAGATGAGATCAGTCCACTCAAGGTTTTTGTTACCCCCAGAAAATCTTAAAGCAGCTGCCGTGTAATTGAAGGGAATAAAAGCGAGATGCAACAACAATTCAGACTGGATTTAGTTTGGACTCTCGTTGGAGGAGTTATTTGTACGCATCCTGACAAAGCCAGAGGCTCTGCCGGTCTTCTCTGTGTCCCACAGTCCAGCTCTCTGAATCATTTGAGGGTTAGATACTTGGGTAATGACTGTTTCCTTAAACGTTTCACTTTCAGTGGACTAAACACACCATGTCTGTCTCATTTTCTATGCATTCTTTTAAATGAGTGAATCCACTCTGGATGTCTTTTGTTTGGGCACATAATCAGAAGGTGGCCACCGGCCCAGTATTTGGTCCCCATTCCTCTGCGCCTCTTTTGTTTCCTCCTTCAGCAGAAAGAGGCAAACGGTGCTGAAGCAGCAAAGGCAGCAAAGGCACTGGCCGTGAACTTGGATCCCCCTTCCCCCACCCAAAAAAAAAAAGAAAAAAAAGAAAGAAAGAACCCACACTCTCACTCAGTTTCTCTGTCTCTGCATTGCTCCCTCTCTTTCTTGCTACCCATCCTTTACCCCACCCAAACCCAACATTTTCTCCCCCCCCCCCTTCTAGCCATGTCTGCAAGCGTTCCCATGGCAACTGTCGCACTGCCTGCCTAGCAACAGGCTTTATCCTTTCATCGGTAAAACATGGGGGAACAGACTAAGCACAAGAGGGGGTTTTGGGGGTTTGCTTTTTTTTTTATATGTGACTGTGTGGATGGTGGTGTACCAGCAGGGTGTTGCAGTGGATTCATTCAGTCCTTCTTCTCCTTGTTCCATGCCTGCAGAATGCTGCACCTGGAGGTGTTTTATCCTGTGGTTTAACCTCAGGCACCTTCAGTTGTGCTCAAATTGTCTTTTTTTCCTTTTTTTCAATCACTTTTGGAATTTTTTCAAGCCGATAAAGTGTTCGTCATTTTCATTCCCTTAGATAGTATTGACGTGTGTAAATCTGCTCTACCTTTGTATGGATGGGATTTCAACTTGACCACTTAAGGCCTGAATTTATCATCAATCCCATATGTCAAATAAATATTTGGAAATTTGCCTTGCAGTTGATTGGTCCCCAGAATAAAACAGGATATAGGAACAGATACATACGTATGAATAGAACATGTATCATTCACCATCAGGGAACAAAATGCTCTAAATTAGATTAGTGTATGACTATAGGCACTAGTCGTGTTATTCCATTTAAATAGCATAAGCAAGAAGGACTCACAGCACACATAAAGAATGAATATAACCATTTACCTAATAATTATTACAGTTATGTAAGTTATATAAGTTTGGAACAATGTGCAAAACATCTAGGAAAGAAACACTTATTTTCATACCTCACAAACTAATATTTGATCCACAGTAAATCAAAGAAAACATTTCAGATTGCAAGGAAAATGTTAGTTTAGCTAAAGTATATGGTATAGTATATGGTGGCAATGTGTCTCAAAACCATTCGGACTGGACCATGTGCTCGTCTTTCCTTTAATCATCAGGCTGTAAAATATCCTAGGATTGAGCAGACTTTTAACCTGCGTTTGTGGTTGGCATGGTGACCTGTGTTCACAGAAACAATATCTGAAAGTGTTAATGGTCATGTCAGCTTTTGATGTGTAGCTCAGGGGTAGCCACTTATTATTCTGGACAATTCTGGACCCTCATGCTCAGTGAAGACTCAAGATTCTCTGAATCTGGTAGTTCTGCCAATGATGATAAACCTTTCACAATTTTACATTTAGGGGCACATTTCTGAAATGTTTCCACAATTTATATGAGCAGTTTTCCTTTTTATTTGATGGCTGAACCTTGACTTCAGAGAGACTCGGACTCTTCTAAGTGCTCTTTTAGTACCCAGTCATTATCTTCACCTACTGTCAGCTGCAGTGTTTATTCCAGCTATTTCTTCTTCATATCTTTTTTTTCTCCCCTGTCTTTTGTTGACCCAATGTCCATGTTTGTTGGTCAAACCATTGTCATAAAATGCAGGTTCTTATTAAAAACAGTAACATGTCTGACTATGATCCTTTGACCTGTCTTAGCGCAGTAGTCACTGTGCTTGACTCTGGTTATGTGTTTTGCTTTAGGAAATATCTTTGCTGCCCTCTGCTGATGACAACACATCTAAAATATTCACTTCTACAGATACGTGTTCATTCGAATGCGTTTGTTACGCGGTTTTCAGAATTGAAACACCAATAACACGGGTGCTCAGGTTATTGTGTCTGACTTGGATGCTTCAGTAAATAAAGTGTTTTTTTTTTTACTCCTTAGTTTTAAAATTTTGAACAGTTTTTTTTCCAATTTGAATTGACTCACTTATAGCACCAGGCAGTCGCAATCATAATTTGCACAGCGTCAATTAACTCCAGCCACAAATTCCTTGACATCATGAATTGTCCTCCAGCTGTTATGAATAAATCTTATGTTTTGAAGGTCTCTAATAGAACCATTAAGCAATAGCAGATATATACGCACCGCCTCTGTCTGACTACCTTTTAGGGACTGTGGTTTAAAAAAGCCCCCCTACAAAATCACGACCCCTGTCATCACCGCCTGCTCTTACCTTTCCTCCAGTCATCACTTTCTCCCTTACTCTACCTAACTCTGCCTTATTTGTGTCCCTTACTCTGCGACACAAATAATTTGGTCACAGAAAAGCGATCATGGCGTTAGGTGGCATCATGTGGTGCATATTGGTGCGTTATCTCTTTCAGGCAGAGGTCCAGTCATTCAGTAAAATGTATTTATTTTTGTTAAAATTAGAATGCACACAGACACCAGCTCAGTACAAAGACAAACATGGAAAGAGACCGTGCAATAACACGAAACAACGAAGCTGTACAAAGTTACAGTGTTACAAGTTACGAGTCCGACGAGACCATGTGACACATTTTGTTCCGGCAAAGGGATTCCGGGGTGCGTTTTCTCAGCAGAAAACCGGTGCGTGAAAGACCCGTACTTCTAACCTTTTTTTCCCCCACCCCCGCATGAAATGGACACATTTTTTTTCCCCCTACACGTTTCACACCGTTACAGATAAGACTTGCATTTCTCAGTGGTGACAAATGGAGCTGAGATTACAGTAAGTTGCAGTTAAAACAGCAGGTAGTAATAATGAGCTTTAAAAAAACAATAAAAACAAACCAAAAACACACACGACATTAACTTGACTTTTAAAGTTCTTGTGCACGACCCAGCCACAGTTCTGTCTCCAGACTTTTTTTTTTATCGTTTCTTTAGCAGTAGGAGTTTGTCTTTAGAAGTGGACGTACGGGGTCATAGGTCATCAGTTGGCTTTGGCCATGAGCTGCTCTGTGAAAAGCCTCTTCAGCTGCGCCACCTCCTCGCTCAGCGAGCTGAGCTGGGTCTTGAGGTAAGTGTTCTCGTGCCGGTACTGGACCTCGCCGTGGGCCTGAGCGGGCGGGGAAGGGGGTCCGGCGGCGTTCGGGGCGGCGCCGTAATGCGGGGACGGCCTCTCTCTCCGGCCGTCGTCCCCCGCGTCCAGCTGCGGGAGCCAGGGGCTCCGTCGGCTGTGGTCGTCCGGCGCCTCGCCGCCGCCGGGCGTCTTGAAGCGCAGCTTGTGCGGGAGGTTCTTCACGCCCTCCCCCTGGTCCAGCCTCGCCATCGGGCCGGGCGCGGCGGCGTGGTGGGCGTCGCCCGGCGAGTGCAGGAGCTCGTAGCCCGGCTCCTCGGCCCGGTGCGGCGAGAACTTGCCGTGGTCGCCCAATCGTTCCTCAAAGAAGACCGGGCTGCCCACGCTGGAGCCTCCGGGAGTGGAGAATCCGGAGTCTTCGGACACGTTGCCCGCCTCCCTGGAAGTCTTGGCGCTAAACTGACCGGGCGGGTTGTTTGGAGGCGGGGCTAAGGAGCTGCGGAGTGCCCCCTCTCCTCTGGGGAGGTAGTACTGAGGCGTGGCGGCCTGCGGGGTGTGGTGAGGGGCGGCGGCGAGCGGGAGAATGGGCGCGTTGGAGGGGTCCTTGACCAGGCCGAAGCGGAACTTGAGGGCCAGCAGCTCGGCGCGGAGGCGGGCGTTCTCCTCCAGCAGCGCCAGCACGCGGCTCTCCAGCACCATGTCATTCACGCGCCGCTTCTCCCGCGAGCGCTTGGCCGCCTCGTTGTTCTTCCGCCTCTTGTCCCAGTAGCCCTCGTCCTTCTTGTCTTGCGGGATGAACTCGCGCTTGCGCCGCGCGCCGGACGAGGGGCTCTCCTTGCGCTTGGCGGCCGCGCCGCGGCCCAGCAGCGAGCGGGCCAGCAGGCTGCTGGACGTCAGTATGGACACCGCCTCGTCCGTGAAGGACAGCGGACCCCCGTTTCCCCCGGACGCCACCGAGGCCGGCGACTCCATAACGTGGAGCTCGCTCACCTCCTGAGACTCCTCAAACATCCCGCCGGGCAGCTGGAGTGGGGTGGGCGGATGACTCTGTCCTGACCGCTGGAAGAGAAGGCCGCTCAGGTGCTCAGTGACCGCAAACTCTTTGGAGAATGTAACAACAGTGCCACCTAGTGACGAGAAGAAGAAAAGGAGAAGGGCAGTGGGATTTGATGGTTACGCAACAGCCATTACAACACAATATTATGTAACCTCATTACATCTCTCCAATAAAACAGGAGCTTGTACCACAAACGGACAACCTTCCCAATGGCTCAATATGAGATAACGCACAACGTCAGCTCAAAGATATCCATCCTCAGCCGACTTTCCCAGTGACATTTAAAAAAATGTTTAAAAAAAAACAAAAAATAACGACAACGGCGATTTTTTAACGTTTGTTCAGATCTGGTGTAACATACGCATTCCTATGCAGTTTGAAGGCTGACTTGGCCCATGTTTTAAAGTGTTTGATTGTTTTTTACAGCTGATATTAGTGAGCCTGGAGCGGTTTCCGGTGTTGTCCATGCCTCCTCAGCGCTGACCCACATGTCTCACAGCACCACACCGCTCTCCTCCCGGTCACTTGGAACTATCACAGCTGACCTGATTCTGCCTCCCTGCCCCATCGCCGTCATTTCAAACTTATTTTGAGGATCTACAGGCCGCCGGGTTTCTGTTCTATCCCCCTTTAAAAAAAAAAAAAGACCGGTTGCATCTGTAAACTGTCATCTTAAAAAGAAGACGTAAAGGAAAAAGTAAGACTTTTTACATCCATCAGCCGCTCGTGTTCACAAAACGACGAAATCCCAACAAGTCAGCGGCCAAATAAATGCCAACACATGTTTCAATATTCACGCAGTGCAACAGAAGGGGGGAAAAAATTTCAGTTTCCAGAAGGTTCGTACCTCCGCGGTCTATCAGTTTCCTCCTCTCCTCCTCTCCAAGCGTATTTTGGTCCGGTTTCAGGAAGGAAGCGCCTTTTTCTCTTGCCTCCCCTCTCTCTGGTTAAATAGCCGCAGATCCTGCCGGGCGCCGTTACTTAATATTACCGCTGCACCTCCACTCTGCTCCACTTGGAATGCCGCAGCTCCTATTTGTAACGCGGAGTTCACCTCGGGACGGGGCCTATCCTCACTTGAACCAACCACCCTGTTTGTGTGCGTGGCTCTGAGCCCGCCTCTTCTACCCCCCCCCCCACCCTTTTGCCGTCCAAAGGAGAGCTTCCATTAACGCTCACATAACACAGCCTCTCAGGCATCATCATCATCATCATCATCATCCTGAGCATCTGACCTCCGTGGCCACGCCCCCCCTCCGTCGGGATAATCTCATAACAATTAGATAATGCTGTGTCTCCCGGACATGGAAAGAGAGTAAGGGGAGTGAGTCACCATTCGCATCAACTCACCGTCTTTAGGTTATTTTTAGGGGAAAAGCCGAGCAATCTTAGGACCCCCGAAGCTTTTCTTTTTCGGAGCACGATTTAGTATCGAAAACACGCTTCATGATTCTACTACAAACAACGACACGTTGTTCTTTGTTTTAATACACTTTGTTTTTAATTCCGTTGCTCTACGTCTCTGATGGAGACACTGTAATCCCACCTCAAACTCTTCTCTTTTAGGTGCAGCTACTTATTAAACTTTGGACAAATCCTCAGCACAGCCTGAACCCTCTTCAGATAAGTTCTCTAGTCTGTTCTTTAAGTGTTCTTCATGCACAGTTCTCCAGGCTTCTTTAAGGACGTCCCAAAGCTTTTTGGATGTTGGCTGCTCTTTTTGTTCCATTCCCTGACAGATGATCCCACGCTGCTTTAAGAACTTTGATGGTCCGGGCTCTGGGGAGGATTCATCCTTCCACCCGACCCGCTCGCACTGACTTTCAGTCCGCGTCTCGTTTCGTTTGGCAGAGCTCAGCTTTTTTCTCCACGCTTCCCCTTCTAAAAGCATGGCTTGGTGACAGCAGCCCTTCCGTGAAAACCGTTTCTGATGAGGCTACGTTGAACAGACAGATCAGCTGAAAGCCCAGATGCGTCTCCCGGGCACTGTGTCAGGTCTTTGCTGGATCCCCCGTACAGCTTTTTTTGTGTGTGTGTCGAACCACAAACCTTATACAGAGTCAAAAGTCGCACTTTTTAACAGCGAACACTCCCACAATTGCTAATCAGCTCAGATTTTGATAGATGTCGAGGTATTTACTCAGAAACGATCCTTCACATCACGCATTCCCCATTATCCCCGAGTATAATTGCTCCTCCCTCGTGCCTTTGACTTAGGAGAACACCGGCACACTGTATCTGGGTGTTTTTGTTGACACAGGTTCCTCTGAGTATTGGGCAGCGAGATCCACGTGTGCAGCGTTTGAGAACAGAACGAGCGCTTTGGCCAAGAGCCTCAGCTGACCTCAGCCAATGCAGCGAACTTCTGTGAGTCAGTGTGCACACAAGAGACAGTGAACCGCATGGACTTTATTATATCATATATGCACTCCCCCCAAGTAAATATGCTCTAGTTGACAGAGAGATACACTTTGAGACCCTTTTTCCCTCAGTGTTTGGCCACTTCTGTGCTCTGACAGAAACTGAGGCCAGTTTCATTCCTACCGTCCACCGCGGTGACCTTAAACAACCCAGGGATAAAGGGAAATGTTCCAACTTCATGTTATATGCAGCACAAACAGGAAAGGCTGTGTAGGGTGGTAACGAAAGCCATCTGCTCCACTAACATACTCACATTATTACATTAACACACACAACAAAATATGACTCATTAACTGCGTAGAAAATGGTCACTTTTCTGCCTTTTTCAAGCTTTGATGCTGTTTCTTTTCCCTTTTTCTACTAAGAAAAAGCTAAAGAAGGGTTACAATCATATGGAAAAAAAAGTAGCTGCAACTTTAAACATGTTCGGTGACAGAATCTTTCAACAAAAACGATTATTTGTTCTCAAAAAGAGTGTAGTGACAGATGTAAATGAGCCAAACTGAGCCAAATGCGGGTGTAAATGGTGACTCCATGATTCAGCATATTCTAGAACCACATTTAGCAGCAGCCACTCCTTTCAACATTACTTGAAGTTAATTGAATATTACTTCTGCTTTAAATCAAGTTGAGGTCTGGACTTTGGTAGGATCATTGGAACATCTATTTAAACATTTTTTTGGACATTTTGCTGTAGATTGGCTGCTGTGTTTTGTTTGTTGCCCTGATGATGGATTCACATTTGTATCTGTAATATTTTAGTATAGAGTGGACTTGATGAATACTAGAGGTGCGATTTCTTAGGTTGAAAACAAGCCCAAATCTGTAGAACCCTCTTCATTAGTCTCCCATCAACTTGTCTGACAGTTAATTTGGTCCTCTTCAACAATGTGAGAGAGCAATGTCAAACACAAAACAACGCACAAGTCTTTGGAACCACAACCGGTGAGTCTGTGTGGTCCAACCCAAAGGAGAAGTAAAACAAAGTTGAAGTTCTGTAAAGGGCTGGATTTAACCGGGATTTACTAATATCACATTTTTGTCCCTGCTATGACAACAGCGGTGTGTCTATTGTCCAGTTTTTGAGCCTTTAACGCGACAGTTCTGGATATTTTTCTGTGGATCAATGTGCGTACTTTACAATCCACCATGAGATTAGATTCAAATGTCCTGTTTCAAAAAGCTTCAGAGTGCAAAGAGAGTTTAACTGTAACTTTCACATACATTCCAGATGACTTTCTGTTTAAAACCTACCCCCATCACAACCCCAGAAGTGTTTGACTTCTCTTACACCCTGAATAAGAATACGATCTGAACACCCTGCACAGCCCCATCAGAATAGCTTAATCTACAATGAGATGATGAGCCACTCTTAACTTTACAACGTCATAACTGGCACAAAATGTGACTTTTTAACCGGGTTTTACCCTCAGGTACAATCACAAATGATTCACTGGGTAATGAGGTTATCAGAGTGTTCCCTAAGCGGTCGGCACCTTCATGTCATGTGCCAAGAAGGTCATGTGAATAAGAAATAAAAAAACACCCTAAAAGTCTGTGTTTTTACCCTTCAAATTGAGGAAAACTGTGGTTTTGTGTTTATATTATAATCTCTTGCTTCTGATACTGATGATCTTGAATGAGAATATATGTTTCGCCTCTTTTCTAAGGGAGGTAGGATGTGTAGGTATCTATGTAAAATCAAATTTCATTCAGATTACAAACGTTTCATTTGCGCAACAGGAAGCGAGTTACGCCACACATATGGTTAACAGTTAAGCTTTTGAAATCGCACTAGACTGCTCAAGAAAGGAGGATTGCCTTGGGCTTCTCTGGAAATGAAGCCAAAAAAAAATAAAAACACAAAACAGAAAGTATTAACCTCTCTGCAGTAACGTGCAAATGTGACTAAAGTGTGTCACAAAGTAACCATTGATTTCTGTTCACAAAAGCACACGTTTCTATTTGTTTTATCGACCGATTTTCTTTTGTTCTGTCAGGATGAGACGATGCGAGCATCGGCGGTGTGCCAGGATTGTGCTTAAGGCGAAGCTGACTAAAGGGGAAAACATCACGAGAGGAGAAGGCTTACAAGTTCAGTAAGTTCAAGCGAAATTCTTGACATTCTAGCAGGGGCTCCTATGGAAACGTTCACCTTGTACAGCTGACCTGCAGGGGGAAAGAGGGCAGATAACTGTGCAAACAGAGCACGCTGTCTCCACTGAAAAACATCTCACATCTCAGGGGAACGTGTAAATATTTCCAGGAAGGCTGTCACAATAACAGGCTGAAATCCGATCTAAAAATGATGCAAAAGACCCAAAAACCGAGGGAAAAATCATAGTCAAAGCTCAAGGAAATGAGGCTTACATGCTGAAAATATAGTTCTCGCTTTAATCTCTGTGCCTTTTGCTCAGGTGACAGTACAGTATTAAGTTTTAAAAAATGATGACAGTGATAAACTGAAATATCCCAAAAGGCATCACTTTGAGTGGTTAATCTTCTTCTACAAATGCAACATTCTACAAATGGGCTTTGTATGTTAGTCAAACATCCTTCACGATCAAGCTTAAGGAAACATAGCTTAGGAGCTTCATATGAGCTGAATAAATAAACATGGCACTTCTTCACATCCTAAAATTGAGAAGATTTGCTCTTTGATTTGTTACGAAAATTTCAGCTCTGGTTAGACATCCAATTTAAAGAGATATTACATCCCAAGCCCCTCTGTGGGGTTTAGGCCACAGCATCTTGTTAGATGTCTGCAGATGGTATAGTACGCACAGATTAGGCAAATTCAACTATTTGAAGAAAGCTCCAGAGGGTTTCATGAGCTAATGGACTACAAAATGACTTTGTTCAAAAGAGCGTACTTTCACTTCATTGCTACTCACCTGTGATGTTCTGACCTGTTTGGCTTTTTCTTTTTTTACTTCCTCATAACTCTACCAGTTTAGAAGTGAAGAAAGCTAACAGAACAAAGAGAATGAGATTATTATTTCATCTAAAACAAATAGAACACCATAATGAGATCATAGCTACTCAAATAAACTCGTTGATTTTTGTTCTTTCATTTTGGCCTCAGACCTGTTCTATACTTTAAGAAGCACTTTTTTCTCAGCCGAAGAAGGCATGTCCTGTGCCAGTGGCTTTAAGCCACGTAAAAAACTTTGCGGTATCATGAAGTGGTGGCTATTTCTTATCTGCACAGAACTGTTGTTTGTCAGTTTAAAAAAAATAGCTGTGAAATAGCTATAAAGACCCCCCCCAAAATGCAGCCAGTGTGTATGAAAGAGTAAAGTGCAGGCCTGGTTGTAAACTGCAGTATCTCAGCCTCCCGGGGATGGAATCAGACCCAAGAGTGTGTTACAACCACATATGTTTAAGGTTCATAACCCTATTCAGTGTTATTATAGATTTGTTCGCATAATATTATTTATTGCGGTTGGGTCATAGTTTCATATAACACACTGTATAGTATTTCCTA